ATTCTTGAGGATTAACTCTGTTCATTTCCCACCATAACGTTAGGGTAACATAAATGTTCGGAGATAATTCTAAATTACTTCTGTTGAAGTATTTTTAGCTAAGAACATGACGACGGCTTTTTAGTAAAAACGACAATGATCAAGCATAATACGTGATTTAGTTACATTGCAAATAATTTCAAAGTTCAATAACTTTATTATATACGCAATTTTCTATTCCTCAACGAAAAAATGCAATTTTGTACAAAGTACTTAATTTAATAAAAAAACACAGAACTCGAAAGAATGCATGGCTGTTACCCTCACGTTTCATTTTAAAGGTCTGAACCAAGTATTGGCTCGGGTCACGCGAGGTTTCAGACAATGTTTACACATGACCTTACAACTGTTACCGAGACCAGATTTCCGTGGTACACAATGGCTGATTGACGGATGTTTTTCTTTCCGTTCATTTAAAAAAAACATATTATTCTGTTAGGTGGCACGTGGTTATGGACAGCATTGTACTCTATGAAGGATAAAGAAATCTGTGGCAACAAAAAACCTATCAGTTTCGCTTTCACGCCTAAACTACTGGATCGATTTTAGTGGTGTTTTGTTTAGAGATAGGTGTTCTAGTGATGGATGTAGGATGTAGAATACATACCTATTTACTAACTATTTACTGAATAACTTTATAAATAGCCAGTTTCGATTTAAACTCTCTATAGAAGCAAGATGTTGAAAGGAAAATGGGTGAAATTATTGTTTAAATAACAATAAATTATCTACATTTATATATGTTTTTACAGTTTTCTTTATAACAAAATTAATAGTAGAGTTATGGTTACAATTAATCGTACCTAATCGTTGATGATTTCAATGATTACTATTATCTAATAGATCATTCAAGAACTGTCTGTCTGTCAAATTAATTGAGTTTCCATTGTAGTTAATCGCCACATTGTTCTTTTCTTAATATTTCCTGGTAAAGTCATTGGTCTCTCTGGTGGATAGATACTTAAAGTTATAGTTTTGAAAATAATCATTGAATTTTCTCCATTGATCTTTGTTTGATGACATGGACCAGTTTTAATATTTATTTATAGTGTCATAATTTTGGAATATTCCTTATACAATTTCGTTTTAAGTAAAGTGATGCTCCTCTTTTGTTCTTGCATAAGAACACATCACTTCTATTACGTATCTCAATCTGTTTATCTAGTACACTAGTGTATAGGTATACAAAACTACTAATCAGATAAAACTAGATTAAGCTAATGACTGCGACTAAGTAGAACTACCTTAGAATGCAGTTTTATGCAGCGTGACGAACTATTACGTTACACATGAAATCATCGGATCCTACGTACAGCTGATTTAATTTAACAGGTCACTTGTTGGGTTAAGATGAACAGGTGACGAATAGAGTGGAACCGATGTAAATTGCAATATTTTTTCATCCAGGAAGCAAGCCCATTTACGGGGTGATTAATTTGTTTTTTGTACGCCACATTGATTGATTGAAATCTTCATTAACAATTACCAACACATCGGGAACAAACCACCGTAGAAAATTCTAATCACTAGATTAGAAGTGTTGAGCAATACGACTTGCAACATTAGCTGAGAAAAACATAAAACTTAGAAAGCAGGTCATTGTCAATGAACTAGAATTGTAACTGATAATAATAATAGCATGTGTGAATAATGCGTTGTTTTAATAATTTATTTTGTACTTTACACCTATTCAAATAATTTCTCACGATCACGGCCACATGAGACCAAAAATGTGACTCGCTATTGTATGTTCTCTTAAAATATTTTAGATAATACATTCACACCAAGGTTTTAATGTGACAGAAATGTAATTAAATAGATTAAGAACTTAATCCGTTAGTTTGAAAAAACGTGACTATTTATTTTTATTGTATTTTAAGCAAGACTAATAAAAATGTTACGAAATAGATACACTTAAGAGTCAAAGATGAAAAGATTAGTATTTATTCATTCATATTATTGATTAGTAGTATAGTGAAATATTGGGAAGTGATTTTTAAAGTCTGAATTACTTCGTCAAAAGTCAAAACAATTTAAAAGATTCTGGTCAATACACCGATTTCATTTAGTGCACTGATAGATCGCAATTGCTCTGTTTCTGTTTTATCTACGGTAGAAGTACAAACGAGCAGACACTTGAACAATTGAAACATCGAGTTGAACATTATATCAAGAGATTAATCAATGCTCGTCACACACCATATAAACTGATACATTTTAATTAAATCGTTAATTAAGAACTAACACATACCTAAGTCTTTGTATTTTATAAGTAATTTTACGCGTAAGTACATAGTTTCTTTTTCAAAAGATAAATTGTAGCTAATATACGACTTTCTGCCGACAACCTTGTTTGAAGATAAGCGAAGACAATTGCATAGATTAGAACACAACAATGTACTATTAAACTGTGTACTCTGTATATCAATCATACAGTCAATACACTTTTACTTTTTATGTAGATACTATACTATACTTTGTAATTAATATTATAAATGTGTTAATTAAACAATAGTTTGTCACGAAACCCTAAATTCATTTACTTGTAACCGTCACGTCATAATGATTAACCGTTGATAACAATTTAAAAAATCTTGTTAGGCATAAATATTTTGGCTGTAAATATAAATTGAATATTTTCAGTAGCTTTCGTGACGGCTTTAAATCAGATTCGATTAATTGACTGTTAATTTGCACGCAAACTATTGTACCGAGGTTAGTTGTAATACAATGTTTAGACCTATTCATATGTAACTGTTGCATGGACAGTAATTCGTTCGTTGTGCTAAGTCAGCCATGCAAATCGCGATAAATGTAATCGATATGCCCTCCGGCCTTGGCCCCGAATGCAGTCCGCTGTCCGCCAGATGAAGAATAATGTTTAAACGGATGACGCCTCTCCAGTTTATGTTGTAAAACTATGCACGCAATCTTACGTTATGTCAGTTATACATATTTGTATAACACTGGATATTATGTATCCTAGAACAAATTCTTTAAGGTTACTACTATCTCCGTCAAACGAACAATCGACCCTGTCATAAGGCCCGAAATCTTATTTGAAATGATGAACATGTTGATCCTGCGCTACATACCCATCTCATTTTCATAAGCATATTTTTTGTTTACAAAGAAAAAAAAACAATACGTTGATATTTACGATACAATGACATCACTTAGCATTTCAAACAAAAATGCTAAACATCAGGCAAACAATGTGCCAAAAACCTGCATGAATACCACTTTTTTCGTACAAACCAGTTCAATGTATTAATCAGAATAAATTAAAATATTGCTGCTGCACCATAACACTAACAAATCGGCATAAAGTTATCAATTTAACATATTCATAAGTTGTATAATTACAAATGTCATGAATGGAGAACGAAGATGCTTATTAATGATGCTAAAATTAACATGGATGCCTTACACTGGCAGTGGGTCACTCGTTATAGTTGCAATCATGTGAAGATCATTGCCAAGGCGGCGGCGGTGCGGCGTGAGGGCATGTTCGTTGTTCGTTAATAATTGTGAAGCGCGCGCGAAATGTTCGCAAGAAAAGCACGTGGAACGTCAAACTGGCGCACGCGACTCGTGACGACGCGTTTAATTGAGCTTAAAGTCTTTCGTACATGTGTTATCATCTACGACGCTGATTTTCACAATATTTTAAACTCAATGATTTTATACAAATTAGCATTTTAACTCTGTATATTAATATAACTACTTGTATACTTACGTAAATGCTACATGAAATGAAAAAGTTGGAAAACGAATTTAAAATATCAAGTTAAAGTTGTTTTCCATTTCATCATCATCAACAGCCTATAAGTGGTCATTGCTGACCAAAAACCTCTTCTCGCGCGGAGAAGGTTTAAGCATTATTCACCACGCGTGCTCCATGCGGGTTTGCGATTTCAAACTTATAATTAGAAATTATAAGCCCAGATTCCTCACGAGGTTTTCCTTCACCATTTCTCAATGGTGTCTAGATAATCTTAGAAAATACATATATGTCCATAAATAAGACCAATATATTAAATCGCATATCGTAAAGTAATTACTTGAATTATTACCTCATTAAATCAGCTCACTTTATTCAGTTTCACAAGGACCCCTTAGCGCGAAACCTTGAGTCGTCGGAAGCAGTTTCTCTCGAGACCAGGCTCAAGAGGTTCCTACATTATTGATTACATATATTGGTTATCCTTATATGTCTAGGTAGTATACATTTCATATATAAAATTCAACAAAAGGTGTTAAGTAGGAACTTGATTCAAACAAGACAGTATCAAGTAACTAAAAGTATTAATAATTCGTGAAACAAAGATATCTTAGGTATTAGTGTACCTGCTTCTTTGTACCTACATATATATGTATGTAGTTACTAAGAAGTAATTAATCCTGTATATCGACCGTATAGTGTTAGAATTAGATGCTCATATTACAGCGTTCGTGATACATTATGTTTTTTTCTTCAATAAATTAGGTAGATGAAACACGTATTCAGCTACTTGCATAATTGTTTGGGGGTTATCGTGCACCTCAACAGGTATTAGGTACTAGATGTTCATTAACAATGAAGTTACCTGTTATGTTTGTAGGTGATATTTAAACAAATGCAAGTTGGTTTCTTGTTTTGATTGTAATTAAATTTAGGTAATGTAAACTAAATTAAGCGGTAGGTTAATAACACAGGTTATTAATATTAACATAAGGTAAAATTATGGTAAATAATTGGTATTTTTACCTCTTTACACATTTATCGACATTTTGGTATACCTGTGTATAAATTGGTTATTCTTAAGTAGCAAATTGATAGCTATGTATGCTTAAACTCACACTTACACTAATAAGTAGATATTAGTTCCATGTCCTTCATAAAATTTATATTATCATTCGTTATTTTAATTACCTACCACGAAAAAAAATAAAAATAAATATTTTTCTCTTTTTTCCAGTAATCCCAGCTCAAGGGACGAATAAGGAGAAAACTCATGCAGTGTCTCCAACCGAGGACGAGGGTCCAGATGTAGTAGCTGATGTGATCGGGAAATTTGGAAGATGGCAGCTGTTAATGACGTTCCTGCTGTCCCTCTTCTCATTGCCCTGCACATTCCACATTTACCTACCAACATTTACCGTGAGTGAACCCTTTTGATTACAAAGTCGACTTCCAAAGACATCTTCTTACACAGAGAAGGAATGAACATTAAACGCTTGCTCAAAGTGGACAGATATCAAACTTATAATTTGAAATTATGGATCCAAGTTTCCCCACGATGTTTTGCTTTACCGTGTGCCAGTGGTGTCTATAGTGACTTAATTCCGCACCACCATGAATAAACCTATTTTTAGGTACAGATATTTGGCTAGTTAAGCCAATAATTGAATTACACTCGAAAAGGACACTTGTCCTTTTCAAGGGCTTACTACTAAATGCTACTGACCAAAAAAATTTAATTGTCATGCCATGTATGCAAATTGCTTATGTTCACAATCTTCTATGGTTGTATTTGGATAACACATGTACCCACTATGTACTTCTTTGTGGCTTTTTATTCAATTCTGCTGTTGATTATCCTCCTCACTGTACTCGTATTTAAATTAACATACATGACCATTTTTCTTAAAATCAAATTAGTGGTTAAAACAGAAATTACGCTGTGGTTATGGTTGGTATTCCAAACTCACGATCTTGATCTGTTTATATAACTTAGATGTGCCTTGTAGTACCTACATACATAATTACATACATTTCATGGTGGGTGCTCAGTAAAGGAGGAAAATCAAATAATGATGAGTAAAAAACACAATTATACCTGCAGACTTAATAATATTCGTATCTTATGTTAAAAAAAATCATTTTCAGGCGAAAGCGACGAAATTTTGGTGTCAGAGGCCAGAAAACTTCTCGAGTTTGCCATTACAAGATTGGATAAACTACAGTCAGCCGGTAGACAGCTGTTCGGTGCGGACAATCTCTGCTGGAGTGACGGTGGAAACTATATTGAATCATACTGCTCCGCTCATAGACTCCTTCCAGAAATGTACAGATTGGAACTATGATAGGACAGAAGTGGGAAGTACTATAATCTCAGAATGGAACCTGGTTTGTGATAGAGCTCACCTGACTAGCTTAGCTGAAGTCATGTTCTTGGTCGGCGTTGGAGTCGGTGGAGTCGTCGGTGGTTGGATATCTGATAGGTTAGAATTTACTTTATTTAATTAAATAATAATATGACAACAATGATTTCCACTTTTGTTTATAAAGGTGATATATTTATTAAATTTTCTCACATTACAGATTCGGCCGCAAGCGGATTTTGATGAGCATGATGGTAGCGCAGAGTTCATTGGCCATCCTCTCTCTATTGGTCCGTTCCTTCGTGCAGTACGTGGTGGTCAGGCTAGTCATGGGATTTGTTTCTGTCTCCGTGGTCTACGCAGCCTTTGTCCTTTCCGTGGAGTTGGTGGGAGGAAAGTGGGTGACCATTGCGGGAGTCTGCAACTTCTTCTGGCTACCCGTGGCATACCTGATTGTCACTCTCTTGTCTCTTCTCATGCCCAACTGGAGAGACCTACAACTGAGCCTGTCCGTACCCGGATGTCTACTGCTGGCTTTATGGTAAGAATTCCTTTATATTGTTGGACTAGAGTTATTCCAGTAGAATACGTAAGCACTTATAGTGCACACAATATCCTCATTACGTTAATTTGTTGCGATCTTACTACCAATAAAACCATTGTTTACAGTAGCCAATAAGTTTATTCTGGAATATGAAACTATGCAGTTGGTACTTAGTTGGCGTCATGCATATATGAGAAGAGTTACGTAATAACATACTATTAATAAAATAATGCTTTCGTAGGTTCGTTCTGCCAGAATCACCGAGATGGCTGCTCAGTATGGGAAAGACTCAGGAAGCGAAAGAAATATTGGAGAGAGCTGCTAAGTTTAATAAGCGTGAATTACCTTCTGATATAGACAAACTGTTAATGTTACACAAAACACATGAGACCACGGAACTGCCTAGTGTCATGATGCTGTTCAGAGGAGTACTGCGAAAGAGGACGATATGTCTATTCCTGTCTTGGTTCTGTATGACAATTGCGTACTATGGTCTGCTACTGAACATTGGAAATTTCAACCTTGGCAACCTACACGTAACGTCTATAATCCTGGCAATCGTAGAAGTTCCAGCAATAGCAATAAGTATCCCGATTCTCTTGAAGGCTGGAAGACGAGTTCCTATATTCATCAGTATGTTGGTGTGTGGGCTCGCGTGTGTGGCTAGCGAGCTGCTGTCGATAGCATTCGATGACGAATGGATCATGATCGCTTGCCTGATGATCGGGAAGTTCGCTATAGGATCCACGAACATGATGATGCCGATATTCACCGTGGAACTATATCCAACTGTGGTGAGGAACCTCGGTGTGGGAGCCAGCCAGATAGCGGCCGGACTAGCACTTATATGCATTCCGTACTTATGGAGACTGGTGAGGACATTTTTATTAATACTGTTTAACATCTTACTCATCTTTTGTAAACATTAAATAATACTTACCTGATTTTTTTAAAGTTTTAGATTTTCTTTTAGCAAGTTTTAGAGTACCTTCCCAATTTTGGGTAAAAATAAATGAAAAAAAAAACCATTTTTGTATCCTCTTCAAATAAAATTATTTATTTTCAGACGATGATAAATGAGCACCTACCGATGGTGACTATCGCAGCTCTGGCTGCTATTGGAGGTGGAATAGTGCTGCTACTATCAGACACCACTCGCCCTGAACCCCAACCACCTCAGCCTGTGAACGAAAAGAAAGTGTAAGTACTCTTCATTTTGTTTTTTAAATCAACTAAAAGACAGAAGACATAAATAAAGATCTCTCAGTTAAAAAATGACTTCCCATAATGACTACGTTTGGTAGAGATCGCAAACAATAGGTTAATGGTATATATTCACTACCTGCCTGTATTTAGTTACAATTTTATGTTGATATATTCTGAAAGAAGTTGAAAAATTAACTATTAATGACACGGCAGTCGCTTACCAGACTTGTTTTCTTAACTAAATATTTTATTTATATTTCTACTGTTTTACTGACAATAAAAAATAATTGTGAAGTTAGATTTTAAAGGTAGAACTAAAGGAAAAACAGTAAAGAAGTCCTTTCTAATAAACTAAGCATCAATTAACTGTGTAAAACAGGTAAAATGAGTTAGTAACGTGACATTGAAAACGTTTCCTTCAATTTCCACGCTTGTAGAAAAACTGATGGTGTACAAAGAAAACATGCAAAATGGTTAGTCGTGTTATCATGAAAAATTTTCACACGTTATGAAAATCGTAGATAATCGCGATTGAATTACGTAGGCTTCATATACGTGTCGCGGAGAACCTAACGGGTTACCGGTGCTCTGGCTCGACGTGCAGGAGAAGGAACGGGGTGGTTTTTAGTCAATAAGAGCCTGACACTTCCTCCCGCCTCACCCAGGCGGGAGCAGTAATTCGATGATATTCACCCCTTAGAAAAAAGTCTTCATATACGTATGTACATTAATATACTTCAAAGTATTATTGTATATAATACTTTTATCATGGACCAATAAACTAATTATTTCATTACATACTACATATTAATAAAAGTTATACCTATAATAAAAAAAATATTATACGATATAATGAAAGACTATAAAAAATTATGAAAATTTGAAATGGATAACTGTGATGCTATTAAATGGAATTAGCACGCACTTTGTGATCAATTGAGGAAAATAAATTATCTATCTTTCACATAGATAAAAATGGCTTAAGCACGACACTTCCTGTGATCAATTGAGGAAAAAAATTATCTATAACATAGATAGGTGGATATCAATATCTACAAGAGCATGGATATCAAATACTCGACACAAAATGTAAATTATCAGTTTGTTTACAAATTAAGGAAAAATAACAACTATGTCTTGAATGAACCAGAAAAATCCAGTAATCGTTTATGACTACAGTCGATCTGGCTCCACTAATGGCCAAGTACCTCTATAATGTACCATACCATAGTTTATTTTAAAATGTTGTAGTCTATATACATAACGGAACAATTTCTTTTAAAAATATTTTTTTTTTCTTTTCGATAAAATATTTCAAGGTCAATTTAAAAAAAAGCAACAATAGTCGTGGGTCCTTAGAAAATAAAGAATGCGTCCTTTCTATAAATAAGACAGGGCAATAAATTCTCGAGTTAGTGTGATAATAATCGAGCCCTGCGCAGGAGTCGAAAGTAGGTCAAGGTGTGAATAATTCTTATGCCCCATACCACTGCAATTTCCGTATGTACATAGATGTTATTGAAGTCAATGAGACCGTTAAAGTGCCTACTAGCGCCATCTACTCACGAGAACAAAGTTTTTGACGTTTATCTTATTTGTTTCAGACCGTACGACAACAACTCGCCGTGCAACGGAACGTTCACAATTACCGACGACAGAGGGCACTAGCAGCGTAATTAAGTGCAACATTAGAGTTACCAATGTGCATAGTTCAAAACATTTTGTACAAAGTGAACTGGACAGTGATTAGTGAGAATTTTTCGAATTTAAATGTATAGATTTTAAACTAATGTCTGACGTAGCAGTTTGAGTTGACACAAATGTCGAAGTAATACAATATTATGTGTTACTTCTGTGTGTAGTACCTAAGTATATTTATAAGTGTACTCATAAGAAAATGCAATATATTAATAGTGATGTAGATATAAAATTAAGACATTAAGTTAAGCGAAGGGTCTATTCAAACTAGCGATTACTCTTAATAAAACGTAGGGCTCTGCGCAATACTTTGTTAGTTGATAGTTATTAGGATTAATTACTCAATCACTTCCCTTATTCATTCAATGAATAGTGTATCGATATTAAAATATTACCCAATATCAATAAAAATAAAATGAAATATACAACATGTAGTTGGATCACGATTGTGTGAATTTGTTCAATTATGGCTAAGTAGTTATGTTCCAAATCTTACACCGGATACCTGACTGGTTGGATGAAATAGTGTTAACTAATATATTTGTTTCTTAATAATGTTGTTTAAAGACGCATTTCACATTTCTATATATGTATTGGATGGCATTGCGATATATAAAATATTGTTAAATCGATTCACTTGCCTCGTCCTTGCGTAGGCACATAGGGGTGCCTGCGCCTTAAAGCTTAACATTATTAGTTTGTTGATATCGATATTGTAAAAAAATGTCAAAGATTATATTAAAATCTCTTTAAAGATCAAAGTAATAGCAGAGCGCCAATAATAATGACCTCATTGTTTTTAAAAATACTTCCCTGCTACTATAAACTAATTAGCAGTCATATAATTGGAAAAACTATGGTTTTTTGTATAACCTCGTCTGCAAGTCCTCGTTGTATAACAGATTTTGTATTGATACAGAACAAATACAAATCTGGAAATATTAATACATTCTGTAATTAGACCAAATATTTCTACAACTATATAATCTACATTGTTGTTATATTTCTGTAATTATGTACCAAAGTAATAAAATCGTTAATATTACATCAAACTGAAACATAATGTCGACTGTTACACCGACTTATTGTTTAACAATATGAAACAACCGAAAATTATTACAGTAATCATAATTTATATGCATGTTACGTTAAAAAAAATGTTAAAAGGCAACGGTAAATTTTCGTAAAGTCCAATTTAACGGTATGACCATATACATACACATATTTACATAACATTTTATTGTAATTTATATATTTTAATTGGGCCACTGTCGGCAATTACAAAATGATTGAGATGTTTAATTAAATTAAATAGTTTGTAGTAGTCTAGTGATCACAAGTACATTGACCATCAACCTACACCAATCTGTCTAATTTATTTATTGGATTTTCTACTTTATATTAATACAATAAAGTTGAAGATGTAATAGAGAAATTTTACAGAAAAGGATAGGTTAACCAGCTGGCCACCGTACAGATACATTACCTATGTCTGTTGTAACAAGAGATTTATTTTTGTTGTTGTCCATATTATTATTAGATTTTAAATTATCGATTCTAGAGTTACATAGAAGCCAACTACACAAAACTCCTTTTACGTACCTATGATCTTCACCTTCAAACTTGTTATATACCATCGGTCTCTAGTTTTCATGATACATACATAAATACTACTCATTCATTCACCCTACTTAATCATGTCGTATTGTATTATATTAAAGCACCCATTTATTTAAGTTTTAGAATAAATAAATAGGGAAGTATGTACCTGTATTTCTTAAAAATAGTTTATTATTTATTGTCTTAACTTTAAGTTAGATTTTAGAACTTAGATGTGATAGTTTCATGTTACCTAACATAAAGTTATCGTCAGTAGCATATAATATACTTTTCCATTAATATTTGGCTTATGTACTTATTTGGTAATCAATGTAAAACATTTAATTACTTATATCGTTCTCTATTACACATTGAATCGGTACATTTATGTAAAAATAATAATAAATTAAAACACCAATCTGTAAGAATTCGAAAATAAAACTAATATTTTTAATGTTTGTGTTTATTTGTCCTCAATTCTAATTTGTTGTGTTAAATCGATACAAGATATAGTCTGAATAGTTTGAGTACCAGTTACATAATATTTGTATGTATGCCGGAGAGTGCCGCGACCGCAATACTGAAGAATTGCCTCTTCTAGTTGCGGTGACCGCGAGTCTTGCTGCGGTCGCGCACACAAATTGACAGGTGGCAGTCAATGCAGTGTGGTATCGTCGGGACATTGACTCCTGCGTCTAGGGCGGCGGTCCCTTCCTCGCCATTACAAAATGTCGGTAACGGTGACGAGCCTGCGCAGGCGTCACTGCAGACGTGACTAGCGTGCGCATGAGTTCCTCAGACACACACGACCATTTTAAAATATGGATATTTAACACTTTAATAATGACTGACATCTTTCTTGCTTGCTTGCCTCATTCAAAACTTATAAATAACAAACAATGGTTGGGCCCATATTATTTAAATACAGCTCTGCACGTGGGAAGACGTGTTTCCATGTAAACCCTCATTGAGTAATTCATATCTGATATAATTATTGTTCTCTTAAACTCTTCAGTGGTAATCTTATGATTTCGTTGAACTCTCAAGGCAAGCGATAACGACCAATCTTGCTTAACAAGCGATCGTATCAGAAAATTGTTATTGCTATCTATTATTTATCCTTCGTGGTGTAGTATCAAAGAGTCGAAGTTAATTTCTCTGGTCATTCACCCATTGTATACTAACCCAAATGCATAGTATTTAACCGATATGAATATGACCTCGTAACAGGTCCTATTGTGACTCAAATAGAATACGTGTCGAATCAGAAAGCTGTTGAAAAAGGCGATACAGGACGGATAACGGAGCGAGGCGAGTTAACCATACCACTGCGTCGCTAACTCAGTCACTAGTACTGGGAATCACTAGTGAAATTATGCCAAGAGTTTAAATGTGTAATAAGCATGCACAATGTTATTGCATAGAACTGTTCTATGAAGTCTACTTCATCAGTCTATGAACTGGTTTATTGCTAGCCATTTGTGGAACTTACTACATAAGTTAACCTAAGCCTTGTTAAAAAGGTTCTCTTGTGATGTTTCCCCTTCAAAAAGAAATAGAAATAAATACCATAACAATCAAAGTAGGTTTTCATGGAAATTCGGGAGAAACAGCCGATCTTAATTTTCGATCTTTTTTATCTAACATACATCTCGTAATCGTATGCCGTAAAAGCAAGTGCTGTACCTAAAGATGTGACTTTTGCAGTTACATACAAATACGTAGTTTATAAAAATAATGACAGTAATCAGAACAAGCAATAAGACTAAAGGAGATTGATCGACTTTCTATGTATCACATAATGTCGATTGTCGATCATCGCGGCATGCTCCTCACATAGATATCGTAGAATATACAACAGTTATCTAACACAATGTATTTACTTGATACACTTTATTACCAAATAGTTGATAGAATTTAAAAAAGAGTACACATACAGTAATCCTGATACCATTAAATTTCCTTTAGACTACGTACTTAATGAATTTAGATATATCGACATATATGTCTTTTTAAAAATACGTGAAATAAACCGTAAAATAAAAAAATGAACAAACCCTCACTATACAAAGAATACGATATTGCGTTTGTAATTGATACTTAAGTTATTTAAAACGACAGAAAACTAATGATATGCTATATCATTATGAACGTTTTACAACCAGGATACAATTATAACACCTCACACCTTCATAGACTTTCCTCTAGATTTCCAGCGAGCGTCGGAAAATTAAATCGAGCTTGTAATGTTTGTACGCAGCGGGGAATGAACTATTATGGCCACAAACTCTCACTCGTTCGTGTTGTGATGCTGCCGATACACTTTCCTGCGAGTGCGTGACTCGACTGCGAGTGAGTGAAACACACTGATGTAACAAACCCCAAATGCATTATCCTGCAACATACCGACACATAACATGACTCCATCCTCTGACTTCTATGTACATTTTAACATTGCACTATTATGTCATCATCGATCGATATCATGCATTGTAAATTTAACAATACTCTACTTAAATACATAATTATTTTATTTTATCTGCGCACGAAAATGATAACTTAATCAAAATCAGGCTGTGGTTGTGACTATAAATTAAAGAATATAGTCACAATAGCTTAATAGTCTAGAGCTCTAGCCGCTTACCCAAAATAAAGGACGAATAAAAGTAATTATAACGAAAATGGAACTCGTAGTACCTTTACAAAGAAGTAGTTCGAAAACAGCATCTATAACACTTCATATAAGCGTTTGTAACAATGAATATACTGTTCACTTTTGTCTATATATTCATGTTATTATCACATTAATAGGTAACGTTAATATCATCACCCACCTTGAGTGTCACATATGTACTAATTAATCTCTAGTCTACTATGTATTTTTTTGGTTTATCCTGCGATCAGTCTCCACGACTATAATCGGGTTTGTTGTTCTTGTTGCTGGGGTTTGGAAAGGTGAAGCCAGTGCTTCGACTCCCCTTAGTTATCTAGCACATCCGCCCTCTTGAGACGTCTAAATTAGTTTGGTTGCAACAACCATAGAAGACAATGAGTTTGGGTGATCCATCAGTCGGTCCCTGTAGTTGGCTGAGTATGTCTTTATTCCGTCCAGTATAGTGGGAATTTGCAGGTATTCGTGGATTTCTTAATTGAATCTACTTAACTACCTGTCTTGGCAGATTAGTCTTTAGTGAATTATATGTATATATAGCAATAAGATTATCTCCTATACGAAACTCATTACATTATATACGATCACCTCTAGCAACCCATTCAGGTATTAAATGTGATGTTATGTTATGTATGCTATACACCTAACTTCCCATGTTTTATCTCCATTTCGTTTCTAAACATGCATTACACAATCCATT